AACTTGAGCTTACTTGTTCATGAGATGAAGATGGCTCCATTAGAAAAAGCAGCAAAACTTAATCTTTAATAATTCAATATTAAAAACTAAAACTAAATAAAAAAATTAATTTTAAAAAATAAAAAACAGTTAAGAAAATAAAGAATAAATTTGACATTAAAATTTTAAAAAATAATAAAATAAAATAAAAGTTGTGAGTCAATCTAAGCTAACATGACAAATATGTGACCTAAATTGAGAGACTGAGTTATTGTCGTATAAAGAAAAACAAGAAAAAATAAAAATATTTAATTTTTTTATAAATATAATATTGAATGATAAAATTAAAAAATAAAATAAAAATAAAAAAGATCGATATTGATTAAGATTAAAATCTCATAACTAAGATCCAAGTTACGAGATCAAAATCGCTAAATAAAAAAAATTTAACAAAGACTAATTCAAAACAAGTCAATATATTGAATAATAAAATTAAAAAAATAAAAAGACAACAAAGAAAAAAAATTAAAAAATACGGGTAAAATCTCATAATAAAAATTAAATTAAATGATAAGAGTTGAAATTGAAAATAAATTAAAATTAATAATAAAAATTAAAAATCAGATATGGTATAAATACCAAATAAAACAAAATGCTAAAAAATGAAATAAAAAAAATATTTCAAAACAAGTAAATAGTAATTAAAAAAATAAAAACCACAAATAAAATAAAAAGAAAGTTAATTTTGGTTGTTTTACAAGGCCAATAGAAAAAGAAAGGGGCAAAAAAAAATCACCATAGCAAGTTGCCTTGCACGCACTACCCTCGTGGATGTGCCTCCACGTGCATTGTTGATTGAGATGATAGTTGATTAGTTTAGTGTGTTTGGTATTGTGGTAATTGTTATAGTTGTGATTTGAAAAAAAATATTTTATAAAAAGTATTTTTTGTTGAGTTTGGTTTAAATATGTTTGGTTAAAACAATGGTTGAAATTGAGGTTGAACAAAAAGTAATTTAATGTGTTTGGTTAAGAATGTTTTTGAAATTGAGGTTATAAAATAATCTTAAAAAATATATATTAATATATATAAATTTTAATTTAAATATTGTAGATATAACTATTGTTATTACATCATGAAATAAATTATATTTTATATAAAATATTTTTTATTATTTCATTAAACTATCTACAATTCTATTACGTACAAAATTTATCCGATAAGAACTGTAGTTTCCATGATGTTTTGAGCATGTAATAAAATTAGAAAAAAATATTATCAGGAGTAAAATTGAGATTACAATACAAGTAAATTTAATTCATTTTAAACTAATTTTTTAAAAAACAAAAAAAATTATTGTTCATGTTCATGTTATGTAAACAGTACAAGTGAAATAAATTCATTACACTAGTTTTTCAAAAAAAAAAACTTATTTATATAAATATAACAATAACTCGTGAATAAAAAAAACCTATTTATATAAATATAATAATAACTCATGAATTAATTCACCTGATACTGTCTGCGTGAACAATGCTAGGTGAATCCATTTGATAGTGTGCAAATCGATGATGATTGTCAATGAAATACTTTTATTTGAACTGAGAAAGAAGGAAGCAAATAAGTAATTGGGTGAGCCCCTGAGTTTTTCTTCTTCTTTGTAGCTGATAGGTAAAAATAAATTGAAAAACAATAATTTTTTGCTTTACAAAACTGGTAATATAAACTTAATTTTCAGTGGGATCCATTTTCAAAATATATATTTTAAATACTTACTAAACAATTAAAAATTATAGTTGAAATAAAACACAGTTCTAATCATACTACCAATACCAAGTACTGTAGTAAACCGTGAAAGAAAACCGAAAACATTATGTAAACATTCGTGAGATATTATCATAGCAAGTACTGTAGTAATTACTTCGATTCACCCTTGGAAGACTGGGCTCAGATGTTACAAAAATATTTGTGCTACTCTTCTTTTCTGTAAACAGAAGAACGTAAAGCTTTTAACATATCGAAAACGCTCCCCATTAACTCTTGGTTTCAGCATCGCCAGACTGTTTTTTATGAACAACCTCGGAAACCATGCTTAGAAGCCTTGTCTGAATTTTGCTAGAATATATGATGTTATTATTATTGATGTAGTCTGTAAATAAATAAATAAATGAAAGATATTTATTCTACATTAAAAAAAATATTTGCTTCTAATAATATTTATAAGTATATGTTTTTATTGTATAATAAATTAAGTGATGGTAGAAGAACTTTTATAATGGACTTTCTAATGCTATTAAATAGATATTTATGATATAAAAAATAGAACTTGAAATTTAATATATCAATGAGATTAATTTATCATTAAATTAATTTTCATAATTAATTATGATATTTGTGACTATTAAAATAAAACTAAATAACAACTATTCAGTTTAATTTAAAATATAATTTTTTATATTAATAATCATATAATTTTATCAACAATCATCTTGTTTCATTATTATATTTTAAATTTATTAAAAACTTGTTATTATATAAAAAGAAAAATAGAATAAAAAAAAAGACATCTTATTTTCTTGGTTTTATCTTTTTATTTTTTTAGAGCTTTATGCCATGTTTATTTTTTAGAAAGTGATTTTTCAAAAACTACTTTTCAAACTTTTCTGTATTTTTTTATTATAGAAAAGTTGGTTAACGAAAAATATTTTTTAATAAAAGAAATTTGACCTGATTTCCAGAAAAGTATTTTCTTGAAAAATTTAAGGGGAAAACACTTTGTAGAAGTTGTGAAAAATTTATAAATGTCATATTATTTACTGATTATATCAAATTTGATCCACAAACTTTTAATTGCTATATATATATATTATTTTAAATATTTATTATTTAATTTCATCTCTTAAAATTTATTTTTTATATTATTTTTGGTCCTCATTGTTATAAATTATTACTTGTTTTTTCCTTAATATTTTTTATTGAAATTTTTTATCTATCAAATTTGATCCTCATTCTTTTGATTGTTACTTATTTTATTTGAAATAATTTATGAAATGCTAATATTATTATTTTAATTTCTTCATCTTTAATTTTTTAATTTTTTAGATTTAATCTCTATTATTTTGATTATTATTTATTTTATTTGAGATAATTTATAAAATTATATA